GAGCACTAACCCCCTCCCCAGCACTGAGCCCTCCTCCCCGAGGGCACTCAGCCCCCCTGCTGCCTGTTCCCCCAGCTCCAATCACAGGCACTGACCCCCGGCCCAACCCCCACCACGGGCCCCAGGCTCCGCCAGGCATTGAGCTCTCCTGCAGGCACTGGGGATACATCTAAACTACAGAGTTTTTCTGGGATACTGGACGTAAACCTCGTTTTACGAGGAAGAAGGGATGTTCCAAAAGTGGCTTTTTTCCCAACAATTGGCCCAGTGTAGATGGGCCAATTGCTGGAAAAGCCTCTTCCGGAAGAAAAGCAGAAAAAGATACACAAATTGCAGTTCACAATCTGCTTATCTTTTTCTGACAAATCTTTGTAGTCTAGACCCAGCCTCTGATCCTGCCCCTCCTATGGGCACTAACAAGGAAGGGTGCCGACTTTGAGACCTCTGTCCACGCCCTTTCCCCGTGCACCTGGAAACTGACCAGTCAGACCAGAGTGGTGGCACATGAGGGCATATCCATGGCCCCGTCAATGGAACCCGCGGTGCCCTCTGAGCAGGAGGGGAACACTGAGCAACGGGCACTGAGTCCCTCGGGGCTTGCTCTGTCTGCACACCTCCCGCCCTGGGCATCCTGCACTGAGCCCCCCGGGGTGTGTGGCCCCTGCCCTGCTGGCATGCTTATGCCAGGGCTGCTTCTCTTCCTAGACCACCCTGGCATCACCCAGCACGACACCATCGACCAGCTGCAGGAGAAGATGGCCCTCACTCTGAAGAGCTACATTGACCAACGGCACCCGCTGCCTGAAGGCAGGTGAGCAAGGGCCCCCCCGTCCCAGGTAACAGGCTGGTGCCACATCCCAGCTTTGACCAGTCCTTGGGGGTGCCCGTCAGTGTGCCAGCCTAGGGGCTCACTTTTCCACAGCCATGTGGCCCCACTGCCTCCAAGACTGAGCCGCTGGCCCCTTGCCCTTCTGCTCCACCCAGCGAGCTCTGCCCTGCCCGTCCAGCTGAGCCAGGCTCTGGGGCAGAGACGTGTTTCCTCTTCCTTGGGGAGCCAGGCACCAGTGGCAGATACAGGGCAGGGCGAGCGGGGCGGCTGACCCGGGCCCCGTGCTTCAATAGGCCCCGTGCCTTGGGCCCCGCAAAACTCTCATCTGCTCCTGCCGGGCACCGTGCTGACACCTGCAGCCTCTCCCAGCCAGGGCAGGTATGTTGGTGCCCTGGAGCATGGCACACGGTGCACAGGGGAAGACAGGCTGGCTAACGCCAGGCTTGGCTCCCTGGGCCTCTGTGATCCGAGGGTCAGTTCTTCCCGGCTGCCTTCCTGCGAGATCAGGCCTCCGCTGGCCGCGCTGGGAGAAGCAGGTGTGGAGCGTTCAGTAGAGCCCAGCGTGGATACACAATCTGGGACCCACCACCGTACCTGCGGAAATGAGCCGTGGACAGCCGCATGTGTGGATTGGCAGGGCTCTAGTGGCCAGTTCTAGGGGTTTCTATTGGCTCTCCAGGGTCCCAGCCAGCCTCCTAACACAACACCTCCTGGCTCCGGCTCTCTACATGCAGGGCAGAGTGACATCAAACCTGGAGGGAAACTGAGGCACGGAGTGGAGTTGCCCCAAATTCCCACATTCTTCACCCTACCCTGCAGGAGCAGATGAGTGTGGGGGGGTGCTCACTCCTATAGTCCAGCCTGCACAGCCTCACAGAGGGGAAGGCCAGTGAGAGCCCTCTCTGGACCCCAGGCAGGTACCTAGCCCATCTCTGAAGTGCTTGGCCTGTCACTCAAAGGGTGGCTTTATTCTCACCCAGACCCAGGAGAGACCCCAGCTTGCCCCCCCCCCCACGCCCCGAGTCTGGGGGAGCTGGGGCTTCCCATTTCTGTGCTCTGAGTCACTTCAAAGCATGGGAGTCGGTTCTCAGCTGGACCCCAGGACAGAGAGAACTTCGACCGCTCTGTGATGGCTCCCATGGCCACATCTGCAGACACTGCACACTGCCATGGCCCCCCACATGTCCATGCTTGGCACTGGTGCGCGCACACACACACACACACTCGCACTCGCACAGCTGCTAGCGCAACTATACACAAACACACACACACACAGAGAAAACCCAGCCATCCAAGGGGATGTCCCCTGGTTATCCATGACACACGATGCACCCTGCAACGCAAACACCTGTGTGATAGTTCACAAGGCCATTTCACTACTCTGAGGCCCCCTCCTCCACTCTGCCCCACCCTACCCCGCTCGTGCACAACCTAGATGGTCTCTCTCAGCCACATGCACATGCCTGTGCACACAGGGAAGGAACGGTCTCCCAGCTCTGCCCCAGATATGGAGGCTGGTTTGCCAGGCTGGAAACCAAAGGGCCCATGGCTGGGGTCTGGGGTGGGGGGAGCAGTGTAGCATTGGGGTCGTTCTCCCTAGCCAGGGAAGAGGGGGGCTCGGCCTTGAAGCCTCTCTCCCCAGCAGGGCCCTGCCAGTTCCCACCCAGTCACTTAGCACAAAGGGTTTCAGTCTAGCCCCTGCCCTGTTTCACCCACATGCACCTTCTGTGAGATAACCGGACGGGGCCGGAGTCGTGTCAGGACTCCTGGGCTCTGGTTCCAGGGGAGTTCTGGAAGGGAGTGGGGTCTAGTGGAGTTACAGGGGCTGGGAGTCACTGATCAGTGTTCCCTGTAAGCTGAGCGCTTGGGTGGCTACCCAGGAGAGATTCAATTGCCACCCAGTGGATTATCAGGGCACCCACAGCATGTGTGGTGCACAGAACAAAATTTACTCTGCACATGGATGGAAAAAATTAGAGGGAACAGTATCCCTGACCCTGTCTGCAGGTAAGTCCCGTCCTCCTCACGTGCCTCAGTTTCCCCCATCTCCTGCCCCAGCTGTGTGGAGTGGCATCCCGGGTGTGGGGAAGGGAGTTCCTGCCATAGCACAGTGCATCTCTGCCCCGCTCTCAGGGCCATTGACTGGAGCCTGCCCCACAAACAAGTGCCAGGGAGCTGCAGCCTTAGCCTGGCCTTGCTGCCCCCTCCCTTTGCCTGTCAAGCTCCTCCAAGCCATGGTGCAGCTGTGCCTGGTGCAGCTTCCAGCCAGTAGCAGATGGGGCTACAGAGCCCACGGGGCATCTGCCCAGCCCTCCGGGGAGCCAGTGCCAGCTGAGCCCTGCCCGAGGAGAGGCACTGGGCTGCCTGGCCAGATGGATGGACACCTGACGCCAGGAAGCAGGGCTCCTCAGCTCCGAAGTGTGGCTGAACGAGGGAGCGCCGGGGCAGGCGGGTGCCTGGGCCACGGGCAGGGCTGACGCGCCGCTCCCTCCGCCCCAGGTTGCTCTACGCAAAGCTGCTCTTGCTGCTGACGGAGCTGCGGACGCTCAAGGTGGAGAACACGCGGCAGATCCTGCACATCCAGGACCTCACCATCATGAACCCGCTGCTCTCGGAGATCATCAGCTAGAGCCTGGGGACGAGACACACTGGCCCGGGGCCCCCCTGGCTGGGGCTGGGACCCTACCTCTTTCCAGACCCACCGGCTGCCCGGGAGCTCAGGGTCTCCACGGCTCAGCCTGCGGCCAGACCCCACTGCCAGACTTGTGGCTCCCGACTCCTGGGCCCTGCTCA